ATGTGGGACATAACTATGGACTTCTTTCATCATCCGCCACTTTATTTTCAACACTCCAAATGACCTTTCTATGACATTCCTAAGTGAAGAATATGCATAATTGAAGATCTCAGTTTTACCTTGGGGTTTTGGTGCCTCTCGGTACTCCTGCAGGTGGTACTTTGTTTCCTTGTACGGTGCAAGATAACCTAGTCGGTTAGCGTACCCCGAGTCCACAAGGTAATATTTGCCTACACCATCCAAACAATAGTTAGTGTCATGAACTTGAACTAGTATGCATAAAAGTAGAACCAACTAATTGTATACTTGTTGGTGGATGTGGAAACACGTTGGTGTATGTTGTTGTCGCATTATTGAAGACCCTCATGTCATGCACTGAACCCGGCCAGCCAGCTAGGATGAATGTAAATCGCATGTCAAAGTCACACATAGCCAAGACATTTTGTGTTGTCATCCCCTTGCGGCATAGGTGCTGCACAAACTTATCACTAGGCACCACACAGGGGACATGATTCCCATCTATAGCCCCTATACAGTCCTTGAAGTAGGGATAGAACCTAGGATTTCTTAGCCTATCATGCATAGTGCTGAAATTTGGGTCATTAGGCCTAATGATGTCAGCAACAAGCTTGACAACAGACTTCAACACCCTGTGAAACATGCTATGAACAGTCCCCAGTGACCTCTCAAACCTGTCCTCCACTTGCCTAACAGATTGTGGAGCCCCCACCATCCATAGAAACATCCCAAGAGCCTCAACAGATGCTGATTTGCTACTAGATTTCAGCCCATATAATTGTACCGAAAAGATCATGCAGGCTGTGGAACATATCAGGGCTCATTCTGAACATGTTATAACAGGCCTTCCTATTTCCTAGTTTACTATGTACCCATTCCAAACCAAAAAGGCTGGTTGTCTATACTCTTACCATGACAAGTGCTTGTCAATGTGGTAGGCATAGTGGTACATACCGTACAGGAAAGCATCATCGTCATCATCGGCCTCCATCCAGTCATTGATGAACTCTTCGAAATCATCCTCATAAGAAGCTTGCCTCGATGACATCAGTCCCGTGACTATTGATTGGACATCCTCCTGTCAAAATGAAAAACACTTTGAATCAGTTTACAACATCAACTAGGCAACATTAGCATGCATCCCTATTGGAACTAACTGATGCCAGTTACTCAAACTCATGCACTACATACATCAACAAATAACAGCCATATCCAATCATACTACAATTAAGCAGTTCAAGTGTTCGACATGACAAACTTAGTTCAATGACAAATGACACCCACCACACCTCACATAGTTGAAATGACATAACTTATTAACTATGTAGACAGCTTAAGAAAATAAGGTCTAGGGGAGGACCCCGATATATTGCTTAATCGTCAGCATCCTTCCTTGGTGCGAGGAGCTTATGAAGAAGTTCATCACAGGCTCACTCTGCATGATCTTGAGCACGACCATCCACTCAGCTGGGGTCTCTTCAGTTGCCCCACACTGTCTGGCCAACTGTAGCACTAGTTCAACCTTCCTCTCGAGCGCGTTGCTTTGGTCCTCAATTTTTTGGTTCCTGTCTTGCCACATGGCTGTCATCCTCTCAAGCCTCTACCTTAAAATATCATTGTGTTCCTTCATGTGACCATCCATGGTCCTGACAGCGGGGCTCTTGGACATCTTGCTCGGCCTGGAGGCAGTTGTACTAGTGCTGCTTGCCCTCTTAGTGCCGACACTAAGTGGCGTCAGTTGGTCATCGTGCTCATCATTGGAGTCATCATCTGAACTGTCGACGTCAACGGTGTTGCTTTGTGCAGGACAGAACGAAGTTGAGCCATCAACAGCGTTGTTGGCGAACATCCGGTCCAAATTGTCCAAGTACGGAGGCCAACCGTCCTTGAGCTTCTTCCACTCAGGGTGTCCCTGAAAAACCGGTACAGGTCATTCATCGAGTATTAACATTTTAACTTTAAATGATTCAACATAAGTTTGGTTACATACCACCGTACGAGATTCCCACCAACCATCAGTAGCAAGGATGGAGCCATCCTCTCTCCTGCCTAAGCTAGAGGCTTTCCGGAGGTCGTTTATAAAATGCCATAAATGCCTGAGCTGCCGTAACTTACTTTTGAGTTGGTCCTTGTCATGAACCAAGGTTGTTGCTGCATAATATCTTGCAATCAGATCTCTCCACCCCGACTTGTTCATCGAGCCGTGGACACAGTTGCCACTGTTAATTTGGTGGCACCAGATTTGGCAAAGCTTGCTTATATTGGGCTCAGACCAATTTCCCCTGTCGTTCCTAGCCTAAACGATTTGATAAAACATGATTTCACACCCATAAACAATCAATGATGGGGCGAAAAGAAAATGATTGGAACACAACAGTATACATGAGCAATGCAAGATAGAAGATGGGTGATGACAACTACTGGGATGTGACCCATGGGGGTACCATGAATCGGGTGCACAATGTCGTCCATGTCTGGGATAGCCCCGCGACGCCGGCGACGACGTCCCCTTCCTCCGGCAGAGGCGGCTGATGCAGAGGCGCGGCCACGATGGACCAGCAAAGACGCTGTCGCCTCCTACGACTTCGATGTGGCGCGCCTCCCGTGCCGTCACCTCCTTCTCCAAAAGCCGACCGCGAGGTCTTTGGAAGTTGAGGTTCCGTCGCTGAGGAACACGGACGGGAGGCAGACCCATCTGGCTACCACCAGGGTCGAACCGAAGGTCGGCGTCGTAGCCGTCCATGCCAGCCCATCCCGCGTCGTCGTTGAGGTCCAGGGAATCCAGCCCCCAGCGGGGAGGGTTCACGCCACTGGACCCAGTGTATGGTGGCGGCGGGTCGGTGAATCCCTCGTACACCGACGACCCGAAAAGCGGGTTCGCCCCCGCCAGGAAGTCCCGCGTGCCATCGTTGCTGCTGGATCCGCCGTCGAAGTTCGCGTTGCCGCCGCCGTTGAAGCCGTCATCATCGTAGCCGTCCATCTACGAAGCCGCGGCCGTGCAGCAACTAGATCCGGGCACGCAACGCGTTGATCTACCGCCCGGACTGCTGGATCTAGACGGGCGCGTGCGCTAGCTGAGACGGCGAGCGGCGGGGCCGCCGAGATGAGAGGCGTGCGGGGGAGAGCGGGGCTAGGGTTGAGGAATGGAGGTGTCTTTGGCTGCCGACGCGGCCGGCCGCAATGATTAGATCCGCCACGCAACGCGTTGATCTTCAATTTCTTTGGATCTAAAGTGGAAGCGGCGCTTAGCCGAGACGGCAGCGGCGGCGGGCCGCCGAGATGAGAGGCGTGCGGGGGAGAGCGGGGCTAGGGTTGAGGAATGGAGGGGCAGTGTGGGACGCGGTTTTGCGGCTGCCGTTGGGCCTCAGGCTGGAAAATGTACACGGATCGCTTTTCACCGCCCGTTTAGTTCCAAAATCCAAAATCTGGCGATATCCGAATTTCTTCACCAACTAAATACGGGCTTAGATATGTACCAGCCAAAGATGAAGTTACTACAGAAATCTACCATTCCGTCTACTTCTGATAGTATGATTGTTACTTTTTATTATTATTATTTTTGAGGCACATGTGCCAGAGAAAGAGTAATTCCTGTGCTTTTGAAAAAATTCAGCGGTCTTGGCGCCACTACTTCAACTTGAGTGAATCCATGCCACTTCCGTCAGCGCGATTTAATGCCGTCAAGCTGCCGCAAAAAAATAATATGATGCCCTCTAAGTTCGAAATGTTATTCATATTTTTTTTGAGCAATAGCGACTTCAAATAAAAAATCAAAACTAGCTTAGTTATAGATCAAAATCGAGATCTACAATTTTAGTTTTATTTTTCATTTTTTCATTAAGATGCAAAAAAAAATAAATATTTGAACTAGATAATCATACAAATCATATTTTTTTTGCAAATTGAAGTTTACTACAATCTACCATTCCGTCTACTTCTGATAGTATGATCGTTACTTTTTATTATTTATTTTTTTTACCTGTGTCTGCTTCCAGTTTTACCCTTCTTCTAAACAATTCTATACAGACCGAAATGTACAGAGCCGAGAAGAGCGCAGAAGAGAAAGGGGAACCCGTGACCGCCGACCGGCGGCGCCTTTCCTCGGCGGCCTCCCTGCCGCGCTCCGCCACCGCCCGCGCTCAAGGCCCCGCTCTCCCCTGCACTGGTGCCGCGTCTCCTGGAGCCTCCTCGACGCCGTGGTCTTCGACATCCCAAACCCCGCGCCTCCCCGACGGCATGCCCCCCACCGGCGCACCTCTCTCAGGTGACCACTTCGTGTGCCCTACCTCCATTGCTGCTGCTTTCCCTTCTTCGTTTCTCATCTTTCTTTCTTTTTATTAAATCCTAGGTTTTCCTTTTTACCGGTGCTAATTAATCAACCTCGAATTGATACCAGTGCTGATTAATCAACCTTGAATTGAGCTGTATGGATCCTTCTGAGACGCCAGATAGGTAAGAACTTTCTCCTTTCTTCTGAACCTCTATAATTTCTTGCAATTTGTACCTATTATGTTGGTATGATGGATGTGGACCTGGAATTGTTGCTGATTGGCATCACATTTGTTCTCGCAGGATTAAATGTAGAGTACAAATCACTGTCAATGCTTACTTTACTATGCGGGATGGTAGAAAGGAGTACAATCGGGGTAGGACAGTAAGCTGGCTTGTTGATTCAGAAGAGTACTCAATCATCGATCTAGAGAAAGATATTGCTCCATATTTTAACAGAAGTATTTGCAAAGAAACTACATGGTGGCAACACTTTCATGGTTGTCAAACTCTCAGAATTGGATGTTCAAACGTGTTCCAGTACAAGCAAGATGAAGGGTGAAAGATGTTGTAAAGGAGGATGTCAGCTTGAGTGCAAAGAAGGCCAGCTGTGATGGAAGAGGGGTGTTGATCAAATCAATTGCTCAGGCGGTTCCGACTTACTCCATGAGTTGTTTTCTTTTGCCGATCAAGTGATCAACATCTGTAAGAAGATGAGGGCTGCAGTTGCAAATTATTGGTGGGGCAGCTCAGCTGATAACCGACATATGCACTGGATGAGTTGGGAGAGGCTCAACCAGCCGAAAAGCAAAGGAGGCATGGGATTCAGGGATCTCAGGAGCTTTAACCTGGCCATGCTAGGGAAGCAAGGTTGGCGACTCATCACCAGGCCGGATTCCCTATGTGCAAGAGTCCTGAAAGGAAGGTATTTCCATGATACAGACTTCATGCGTGCTACTAGAAAGAAACATGCCAGTAGTACGTGGAGGGCGATCCTTGTTGGTCGCGAGGTTCTGCAGCATGGTTTGATTAAAAGGGTTGTCGACGGAGAATCCACTGATATTTGGGGCGATCGTTGGATCTTGGATCACTTTGGGGCGCGGCCAATCATTCCCAGAGAGGACGGACATCCAGCCCTAGTTTCTCAGTTGCTGCTAGATAATGGTTCGTGGGATGAAGCCTTGATCCGAGACCGGTTCTTTCCGATTGATGCAGAAGCCATCTTGAGACAGCTGAGAGGGAGGGGACAGTTGGATTTCTGGGGCCTAGGAACCTGAAAAGTTTGGGGTTTACACAGTAAGATCAGCTTACAAACTTGTGTTTACAAGGAAATCTGAAGCTTTATTTGTGCAGCAGCCAAGCTCGTCTGATGATGGACCTTGGAAGAAGATTTGGGAGCTAGAAATTCCGCCAAAAGTAAGAGTCTTCTGGTGGCGAGTGTTACATGAATTTTTGCCGGCGAGATAGATCCTATGCAGGAGACATGGAACCGGTAGCTTTTTGTGAAGTATGTGGAGACCCGGAGGAGTCAATTAAACATGTTCTAGTTGATTGCACGGTAGCCAAGCAGTTCTGGAGTCAAACCAGAGCGGCAACCGGGTTAAAGATTCCTAATCTAAATGCAGAGACATGGGCGACTGACCTGATGTCGGAGCTTTGCCCAAAAAGGGATCAAGCTATTATCATGTGTGGCATGTGGGCAATGTGGATGATGTGCAACAAGCGCCGGCATGGTGAGCTATCGATGACGGTCCAGCAGGCGGTGAACTGGGCGAAAGACACGGCGTTTGACTTGTGGCAGTTGGGACATCAGCTCAGTCAACCCAGCAGGGTGCATGATATAACAACCTGGGGATTTAGTCTAGTGGTAAGATGTACGCTTAGGGAGCGTAAGGTACCAAGTTCAATTCTCCGAATCCCCAACTTGAGAAGCTTTTTGCATTTCGATGCCATGGGCAGATTGTCATGAGAAGTATATCCAGACAATGAAATCTGGACCACTATCATGATGTGAAGATAAGGTGTTGGATACAGCCTTAAAACTTAGACTATACATGCATATGGAAAGGAAATGGCAGAATGTTTGTCAAAACTTTAGGATATTTAAGTAAAAAATATTTGCTATCAACACTGAACTATTTGTTTTGTTGAACCTTGATTGCTTCTGCTGGGTTTCAACTCTAGCCTACCCCAACTTGTTTGGGACTTAAAGGCTTTGTTGTTGTTGTTGTTGTGGAAGCGACCGGAACCGGGCTGGGTGAAGTTGAACACGGATGCTGCATTTTTTGTGGAAAGCAAACAAAGGGCCACCTCGTGTGTTATCAGAGATGAACGGGGTGTCTTCCAAAATGGCCAAGCTACTTGGTATGAGAGAGCTTTTGATGCATGTTCAATGGAGGCAGTGGCCTGCCGAGACGGTCTGAAGCCTGCTACGCGGCTTGGGCTGCGGTGAGTAGCAGTGGAGACCGATTGCATTCAATTTGTGCAGCTTTGGAGAAAGGAGTCACAACGATCAGTCATTGATCCTATTCTGAAGGAGATCGATGAGGTTTGTCTTGCCTTTCAAGAGTTTTACATCTCTTTTGTTAGAAGATCATGTAACAAAGTAGCACATGTATTAGCTAAACAAGTTTCTGCTTCGTACCGTTTGGAGACGTGGCATGTAACTCCGATATGCGTGTATGACTTGATCATGTTTGAGGCTTCGGCCAGCTGATAATGAAAGGCAAGCAAGTCACACAAAAAAGCTTGAGTGCAAAGAAGTTATAGAAAAGATTGGAGAAACACTACAACATTGAATTGTCATATTTCAAAAGTGTGGTTCGAAAGAAGTCTGCAATGGAAAGGCAGGGAAAAGAGGCCCATATCAATGCAAAAGGTGCTTTCAGTTTGGACATATAGAGAATGGTTGTACTGCCACTCAAGCTGAATTACAACAAGAGCTTTCACCACCACCACCACCACAACAACAAAGCCTTTAAGTCCCAAACAAGTTGGGGTAAAGAGCTTTCACCACCTCATCCAAAAAAAAGCAAAGGCACTGTAATAGGGATCCCACTGTAATAATATGTTTGATGTGTAATGCATTATGTTCCCTATCTAACTTATGTTGTACTTCCTAGGAAATCCAAATCTGAAGTTTTAGTCTCCATGGTTGATGTTGAACCAGTCCAGGTGTAATAACAAGAAACATGTCTTCTCTTTCTCCAACTAGCCCAGGTCCTACAACCAGAAGGATGGCATCTATCCCACCTGGAGGAATTAATCGAAGGTTCATTATTAGCTAGAAACATTAGCTTTCTTATCTATTTTGTGTGTGAGCATGGCTGGTCAATTGTGGTCTTTTGTGCAACTCTGTATGTGTAACTAGGGATCCTGTGTAAATATGGTGCTGCTATGCAGTATTATCTCAGATTTTGATGAACTTGTAAAAATTAGTTGTACCCTGCTATTATGGTATTGAAATGGCAGCAAAATTGGGGCAAATTTGTGTTATGTAATTCTCAAAATTTTGTGTTATATTTTGCTGAGAGGTTGTGTTATATCCTACTAAAAATATTGTTTTATATGACCTGTTATAATGCTGCTGAAACGGAAGCTGCAGCGCAGCTACATTGCTGCTGGAATGGGAGTTGGAGTGTAGCCATATAGTATAATCAGTTCTAGCAAGGGTACAGTGGTCACAATTAACGTTCAGTTAACAGAAGTGGTAAGCTGCTAAGAAGTGATATCTTTTGCTGGTACATATCTAAACAAGAATCTTTTGATGATATGAATCCAATTTTCCCTAAACTCTATGTCGGCAATGTATTGTCAAAGTCTTGAAGCAAATAAAAAGATGATATGTCACCACAATGACTACAGTCAATCCGCCAGCTTTATCATATAACATGATGATGATGAACGCTACTTGTTGACCTGTTAAATTTGTGGCACCGTAACTGTAGTGTCCATCTTATAACCAACAGCAGCAAATTAAAAGGCTGTTTTGCTCAAAGACAGACACCCTACGGCCCCACATGCGGCGTTAGACAGCCGCCCTGTGGACTCGTTGTTGGTCTGGGCAGGCTGAACAGTTCCTTCCACCGCGACTTCAACTCCCGCTCGGCTGCTCACTCGTGTGCATGCTACCATTATCTCTCAAATCACTTTATCATCGCTGATGCAAGGCAACGGGCAACGGCGCCTAGCTATAAGGAATCCATCGCAGGTGCCCGGAGCGATTTTTTTTAAAATTTTAACACTTTTTTAAACTAATTTTAAATCTAACATTGTTTTTTTCTTTTTAAAACTAACACTTTTGGCCGCGCCATTGCCTGCGCCGCGCTATGCATGGTGGCGCGGCAGGTGGATGACGTGGCGACGACCGAAAATATTGACCGGTGACGTGGCAGGGCTTGCCGCGCCACCGATCTTGGCGCAGCGATGGCGACGCTACGATCGGTGGCGCGGTAGAGAGCGAATAAAAGCGCCGTGGCCCGGCCCCCCGCGCCGAGCATGCTCGCCGCCGCGCCGCCGCCGCCGCCGCGCGCAAGACTACCGCGCCGCCGCGCTTTCGCTGCCGCCGGGCTTTCGCCCGACGCCGACCACGCCGGCGCGGGCGCCACGCCCACATTTAATGTTTAAGACGCCACGGTCGTCGCCGCGCGCCATTGCCCGCGCCGTGCCCGTCAGACGCCAGCGCCGCCCCCTCCCTCCCACGCATGGCGGCTACCCGCCACCCCGCCGAGGAGGTGCCGCGCCCGCCCCGGCCGGTCTAGCAGCGCCACCGCCATGAGGATTGAGGGCAGCGCCCATTGCCATGAGGTACTCCCCTAGTGTATTTGTTGAATCGACATTGTTAGTATATTAAGTTAGTAAAATAAATAAAGTTAGTATAATTAGTAAAGTATAGTTAGTATAGTTAGTAAAGTTAGTTAGTTTAGTTAGTATAGGTAATATATGGCCTGTTCGGGAGGCCGTATTGTATCGTGGATTATTCTTTCTTTGGTGGTTTGTTAGTATTTGGAAATTTACGATCGTTTTACAAGCGTTAGTAAGGTATAGTAAGTTAGTATAGATAGTAAAGTTAGGTAGTTTAGTTAGTACAGTTAGTGAGTCTAGTTATACATTGTATTTAGTCTAATTAGTTGTTGTAGTTAGCCTTGTATAGATGTTAATATTAAATTAGTTAGTATAGTTATAGTTAGAATAGGTATTAATATTACTATGGACATTATGTACGATGATTTCGACGAATTGATGAAGTTTCTTGAAATGCTTTTATAGATTGATTGTTGTGTTAGAGTTTTATACGGAGGAAGTGTTAGGCGAGAAGATAGTATGTTTGAGGTTATGGAAGAAGAATTGGAATGGTTTGATGAACCTTCTAGCTTCAACGACCTTTGTGTCCGTTTGAATACAAAGTTTGGCGGTGATTTCACATTGAAGGGGAGGTTTGATACTGAGAAGACTAGGACACACTATGTCCTCATGCCATTGCGCGATCCTGCTCACTGATCCCGCTACATTAGGGTGCTCTAAGGTTCCAATATGCCCATAGCTGAGGTGGTGGTAGAGAATGGGTATAGGATGCAGGGTGTCCAGGACGGCCCGTCCATTAACGGTGTTGGAGGCAATGAACAAGAATTAGGGGTCGAAGGAGAAGCAACTCAGGGTAACATGGATTTGGACGGTCAGTTGACGCAGGAGCAGTTTCATTCAACTGCAGTAGGTTGTATAAGCAATGACTTCGATGTGAACGAGTTCGAATGGGAAGAGGAGCAGGAGGAGGACAAGATCGGTGATGTAGTTAGCAGTGATTTAGACGATTCTGATGATGACCAAGGAGGTACAGATGCTATGCCAACACCGGTTGATGCCATGCCAATACCGGTTCATACTATGCCATTACCAGTACCAACTGAGGTTTTGCATGGTATCTAGGCTCAGGGTAGACTAGTCATAGATTTGGCAGCAGATGATACCCCCTATGATTTATGGGCCAGAATTAGCGAAGCGCAGCAGTATGTTCCATCACCACCTTACACAGCGACTGAGCTTGAGCAACTAAGGTCGATGAACGTACCTTTCAGGGGCGTTCTAAACTATAGGGATGTCAACATGACGGATATGGCAGTTTGTGACACCGGTCTCCAGATGTGTAGGAAATCATTGTATGACCATAAGAAAGAAACCCTTAGGAAAGGGATGATATTCAATACAATGTCAGAGATGAAGCTCTTCCTTTAGGACTATGTTGTGTATCACCATAGGCCGTACACCGTCACTCATTCGGACCAGGAGTTGAGGTACCACTTGATATGCAAAAACGGTTGTATGTGGAGGTTAAATGCACGAAAGAGACAGAGTGATGGCAAGTGGAGGATGAAAGCATCTAGGCCCCTAGTTGGGTTTTGGTGATTAATGATAATACGTGATTACTGTGACTAATGTGTGTTTTGCAGAGGCAATTAAGTTAGGTCACGGTAATGGAGATCGATTGGGCAATCATGGTGGTCATGCCCCTACGATGGAAATCATTTCGGTTTTTAAAGGATGGACGACAAGGTTAAGGATGGACTAGTTCTAAGTGTCGTTTGGTGTTGAAAAAACACTTAGAGTAGTTTAGGACTTTGTTTTTCCTTTGGTCGTACTATTAAGGGGGGTATAGACGGGTAGCTTGACCTAAGTGAGTCTAGTGAGTTAGGTGTGGTGCACACTTGCTAAATCTAGCACTAGGTAGCTCCAAAATAGCCCTTAGATCCATTGGAGCAAACTTCATTCATGCATGTTTGAGAGTTGGAAGTAAATGGATGGTCAAATACTGACCGGACGCTGGCTTTGGTGTGACCGGACGCTGGCGCCGATCAGTTCATTTGATCAAGGTGAAGTCGTCTGGAAGTGACCGAACGTGAGAGGTGAGTGACCGGACGCTGAGAGCCAGCATCCGGTCGACTCCAGTAAGGTTCCAAAGAGGGAAAATCACGACTGGATGCGTCCGGTCAGTGCTGACCAGATGCTGTCTAGCGTCCGATCACCACTTGATCACTGGAGTTCGGGGAGAACTGATCGGAGCGTCCGGTCAACATGACCGAAGCGTCCGGTCACCCCGTAGAGGCACATAACAGTTCGTTTTTTAGTCGATGTTATGAATACTTCCTCCATTCGTGTGTGGGGGTACTTTTGCTCATTCCAACAGCTGAGAAACACCTTTGAGAGTGCTAAGAAGAGCAAGGTCATAGTGAGGTGATTGAGATTTGAGAATCCCAAAGAGAGCCCTCATTAGTGAGATCAAGAGTAGCAAAGTGTGCATCCACCCTTCTCATTAGGCTTGTCGTGGTTAAGTGAGAGCTCGTGGATCGCCATCACCTAGATGGCTTGGTAGTGATTGGGAGCTTGGTGATCATCCGGCGGAGCTTATGGATGACCCAACTCAAGTTGTGAGCGGTTATGGGTGATTCACCGTGACGGAGAGTCAAAGAATCAACCCGAAGAGAGCACTTGATCCTTGCGTGGATCAAGGGGGAGCTACACCCTTGCGCGGGTGCTCCAATGAGGACTAGTGGAGAGTGGCGACTCTCCGATATCTCGACAAAACATCATCGCGTCCCTCCTTCTCTCTTTACTTTGAGCATTTACTTTGAGCAATTCAATTATTGTCATTTACATTCATAGAATTGCCATGCTAGAGTAGGATTAGAACTTATGTTGCATGACTCTTTGTGCGATAGATAAATAGAAACACTTTCTAGGCACAAGGGGTTAATTGTGCTACCGTAGGATTTAATTATTGCAAAGAAATTTAGAATTAGCCCAATTCACCCCCTCTCTTGGACATCTTGATCCTTTCAGAGAATAAGTAAAGTTGTCGAACCCCACACTTGCCTAACAAATAGGGGGAAGAAAAATCATCAGCAGCTCACTGCACGTTACCTTGCCCATCGTATATTGGGGCTCGTTGATGATAATAATGACATTTTGGTGTCTTCTTTACAACAGTCCATATCTGGATTCGTTAAGTACGATGTGAAGTATGGAAAGGCTTGGCGTGCTAAGCAAATTGCCCTGGCGATTCGATGGGGTAGTTGGGAGGAAGCGTACAACAGGATGCTCCGCATCTTATGTGCAATACATTACTACAACCCTGGCTTGAAATGGTTTGTGGACATCGAAGGGATGTGTTTTCAGGACCCGTTGAGGCATGTCCTCTATCGTGTGTTCTGGTTGTTCGCGCAAACGGAACATGCATTCCAGTTTTGTTGGCCAGTCATACTTGTTGATGGC